GTATTTGTCGTTTAGTGTTTTCAGTAATGAGGTACCTGCATGTGAACTTTTTGACTTTCTAAAGAAAGCACATGGTAAGAAGATCTTCTTAGACCTAAGTAGGTATTTGCAATCGTTTGGAAGTGATTAGATGTTTTTCGACAATGTGAGAGCTCATCCTAACAAGTATAGTGAGAATGTCATTAATAACCTTTAGAATGTGTTGCACTTCGCTTGGAATTTTTTCACGTCAATGGAAGAACTGACTATAAGCTCAAGGCCAGGTAAACGCAATAGGAGGGTGCCCTTGAAGCCCTTTCTCGTCTGTCACTCTGAGTCATTTACTTACGCCTATGGCGTTTTATACAAAATAGTAGGCCGATCCAATTGCCACCTTATGTTGGGCCAGCCCAATTTCCGACTATTCTGAATGCAATAGTTGCCAGATATGGCCCTACGACGTGACCGCAACTGTAGTTTCGATAGAATATCATACTAAATGTGTCTGGCGAATCAAGCCTAAAAAGAAAACCTGCTTCTGGGAACAAAGTACGGGTAGTTCATTGACTGCGTCTCGACTCAGTGTTTGACGAAATTTTCGGACGGAAAAGGAGATCCTTCCATTCCGATCCGAAAGCCTCACTTCGTTCAAACTCTTTAAAATCGCTTGTTATCGAAGATGCTTCTTTCATTGAGGACGAAGATAGTTACAAAAGATTCTATATCATAAACGTCCTTCTGGCATGGAAAATTTTGGATTGTCTACAGGCAGCAGTTTTCTGATAATATGTTTCACAGAAACGTTTGAGGTCCATCAACGAGCTCCGTTGTGCTCACTTTGTACATTATATTTTTGTAGCAGACGGTCATGACTATCCGTCCTTATGTCAATGGAAGTTAGGGTTGTCGAGTTTGCGCAAATCTTTAAATCATACTGACCAGAGGTAACCACATACGACGACATTGACTCCATAAAACCATTGTCAGTTTTACCGTAATTTGCGAAGCGAATGTCGAATGCGCACCCTATATTAGGGAGATTTGGAAAGACCTAGAGATCGTGCGGATAGCCAATAAGAGCAATTTTATTTACGTCAATGTGCAGATGCTCATAAATTGACAGCATCATTCGAGTCATCCTGCAGGTAAGTCATTCATAGGATGAAGCGGCATTACGTTAAAGTGTGCGGGCCCTTTGATTGAGACTAAAAGAGCAGCGGTAATGCAACAGCAAATAGTCGATCAACAGCGGGACGGCGAAAAACCTATTAGGAAAATATCCCGGATGTAGGGGTGTCCAGTTTTGGGCCCACGCGAAGACCGTAATGGGCCGCTTCACTTACTTGGAGGTGTTGACCACGCCTAGCGCCCATTAACTGACACCCAACTCCCATTGTGGCTCTCCCGAACTAGGCTCTGGCTAGCGGCCACACCACGGTAATCGCCTCGGTCGGCGGGCTAAACCAGGTGAGGGTATCCGGTGTTCTGCGTCCTCACACCCGATAACTCCGTCTCCCTTTCTATCCCCCCTCCGCTACCCTCTTCCATTCACCCGCCATCACCCACCGCCACATCATTCCAAAAAGTCCTACAGAGAGGGCGACATGCAATCCCGTAGGCGGCCCAAAACTACTCGGGTCGTTCATCCACTAAACAAAGTCGTCGTCCGTAGCAAAGCCCGGCGGTCGTCTGGGATGTCTAGGCAGCCTTTTTAAGAGATAGAGCTGCTTACTCCTGGTGAAGAAAGCGCCTTAAAATAATGTTGGGGAATCACGCCATCTGATAGTATACCCTCCGCCAATGATCAGCTCTGCCGAATCGAAGACCAAGTTTTACAAAGGCCTGTGTACCCTCCTGGCGCCTGTGCCGACGGCGGCAAGCAGTTTGTCCTTGGTGACTTCAACGCCGGCGTCGGGAGAGAGTGCGCTACCCCGAGAGGAGTGCTGGGTACGCACGGCATCGGCGGCTGCAACGACAATGGTCTCATTCTCCTGGGAACCTGCGCAAAGCACTGTCTCCTGATGACCAACACCTTTCGTCTGTCAATGCGGAAGAGGTCACCTGAATGCACTCCCGATCGCGGCGTTGGCGGCTACTGGGCTACATCCTCGGTGACGCGATCGACAGGACGTGGTGGTTAGCCAAGGCGGTCTGAGACAACGATGGCTGGACGAACCATCGCCTTGTAATCTCCAAGGTGGAGCTCCGTATGCAACCCCGATGGAAGCCACAAGGTAAGTTGGATATTGTTCTTTTGAATTTGCCTGCTCACCATTTGCACTTCAGCAATCAGTCAGCTCAGCATCTGGAAAATCTGCCGGTCCCGGACGTCAAAGCCACCGTAGAGACTGGATAATGCCAGCTGCGGGACGCCGTCCATCCGCTTCCTGTGGTTGTCCTCGGCCGCGCATGTCGTCAGCACCAGGAGTGGTTCGACGAAAACGTTGCCGACCTCATCAACCCGCTCGCCGAAAAGAAAAGGCTACATAGAGCCTACCTCGACCGCCCGTCCGATGCCAACAAAGCGGCCTTCTAGCAATGTCGTCGCTATGCTCAGCAACGGTTGCGAGAAACGTAGGACGTCTGGATGGCTCTCACGGCCGAGGAGATTTAGGAATATGCCGACCGTAATGAAACGGGTAGCTTATGCGCTGCGACCAACCGAACGTTGAAAAGCTTTTCTCGAATAACTGTCAGCCGCAGCTAACTCAAAACCGTGAGAAACGTCGCTTACCTAGGAAGCGCAGCGTAAACATCGACGACGAGGTTGTCCGTCACCTCCCCAAAGCCAGCCAGACTTTCGGCCGGCTGAAAGCCTCTGTGTGGAATGGCCACGGCCTTCAATTGAACACCAAACTGAAGGTGTACAAGGCCGCCGTCATGATGGCACTTCTGTACGGACCAGAGAACTAGAACATCTACGCAAGTCATGCCAGAAAGTTCAATCACTTTTATCCCAACAGCCTTCGCAGAATACTGAGATTGAGATGACAGATCAGGATTCGGGACACGAAAGTCTCGAATCTTCGGCATTTACGTCATTCTGGAACAGCGGCCACTGAGTGAGAATGGACGACGTTCGTTTAGAAAAACAACTAGTTTACGGAGATGTCGCCACGGATGCTCGCCAACTGAGGGGACCAAAACGACGCTACAATGACATTTCGAAGAACTCTCTTAAACGATTACACGTGATCTGGGAGATCTGGGAGGACTTCGCCCAAAACAGACCGGCCTGGAGAAGAGTAGTGAAGACTGGCTCAGTCATCTAAGATGTCAAATGGATCGTCGCGACCAAAGCCAAAAGGGATGCTCGCGTCTTAGCTGCCTCTGATTCACAACATCGTCACCCAACCCCGTCCAACTTGTCCACGATATCGACGAAAACTCAGCGCATGGATCGGCCTCGTCGGTCATCTTTGGACCCAACACAAGAACCGCCCAACGACCGCGACTGCTGTCTCCACGATCGCCCCTGCTCCAACCTCCACGTCGGCGTCCGCCCTCACAAACGACGTTTCGAATCTCCGTGCCGCTCTGCCGTCGACCACCATCACCTCCGTTAACTCTGCCACAATCACCACGGCGACGACGAACACAATCATCTCTACCACCCCCACCACCGACCGAAACGTTCCTGAGGCCCCATCAATCACCAACGGATTCACCGTCACAACCCTCAGTTCTCGATTCAACTCTGTCCTAATTGAGACCGCACATTCACCTCACGCATAGGCCACTTGCGAATTAATCTCACAGAGACTGGCAAATCAACGCCTTGAGCACCAGTACACACCAGGCTCGCTCGCCTAAACCGCCCGCATTGCCGTTGGACATTCAGCCATCGGATGAGCCTTTTAGTCACATGCGCGTTTAGGAAAACCTACGGTTAATAACTGCAGACGCGACTAAATCGTCGCACATTTCCTCAACGAAGAATGCACCACGCATACTGTTGTCTTCTAGTCGTAACGCTTAGCTGGTGGCCCGGTTTAAAGCTCTCCGCAATCGAATTCCCAAGGGAACCCAACAGCGAGGAGTAAAGAACACGCATCTGTTGCTGAGTTCCTAACAGCAAAATCGGATGATAAAGGGTAGATGTAGAATGTCCAAGTGCGGCCTACAATTGAGCCAAACAGATCATGCCGTTGACCGGTTAGCATTTGGACTGGTCTGCTGACTCATCTGAGTGGCTGGGCGCCCATCTTATCCTGCCTGGGGCTGGCACGACCTCATCACGTTCACACCATGTTGGAGGATCGATAAGGTAGCATGTACTCGTGTTGTAAGAGCGGCATGTGGATGAGTCGAGAAGGATGGCCTCTCCTAACACTTCCCCCCTTTGAGATGGAAGGTACGACCTGAGCCACGGGTTCACTTGCAGTGAAGACGTTTGCGTTACTTTTCGGCCCGATCGTCCAAGCAGTTAATGAGACCGTCTTGATAACGAAACCGTGGGTTCTTGCCTTGGCTTTGGCAGATCGAATGTGTCCATTAGTAGTTTAAGTGGAGGGTTTGAGTTTGGATTTGGGACGTCAGTGCATTGGGTGTGCTTCAGCTGACTGGCGTGACGCACCAAATTGTTCGATCCGATCAGAATCTTGTAGAAAACATCACAACAATTTTGGTGGACGCGCCTGAGCGTCCACTTTTCGTATTCGTTACTGTTTTCTTTTGCCAGAACCTTCTCGTCCGGAAGGAAAGAGTGTTGCCTTGCTCGGTGGCCGCTGTTGAATCGTCTTTCAATCGAAGTCGGGTGGACTGTTTCACGACCAATATTCGGTTGGTAGTGGGTCACTCACTTGTCCCATTGTGCCTTTCTTTCTTGAGCCAAGCAGCAGCCACACAGCGGCACATAATATAGGCAGTAATGTTATTCCGCCATCATCCGGTTGTCCAGCTACATCTTCTGGAGAGGTCGCCCCAGGGCAGAGCGACGGGACGCAGGTGTCCCCTTTGTTATCTGGAACGACATCGTGGGACGACAGCCCGGTCAGCCGCAGAACATCAGCGATCGCCTGATGAGTCTACGCCTACCCCTCCGGAGAGGCGAATTCGCCACCATAATCAGCGTCTACGCTCCTCCAATGACCAGCATCGACGTCGCAAGAAGCAACTTCTACGAGTGCCCGCATGCCCTCCTGACGACTGTGTTGTCGGAGGCAGATAAGTTGATTGTCCTTGGTGACTTCAACGCCTGCGTCGGCACAGACCATGCTGCCTGGGGAGGTGTGCTGAGTCCCCATGGTCTCAACGGCCCCAATGACGATGGCCTGCTCCTTCTACGAAACTGTGAAAAACGTCCACTCATCCTGACCAACAACTTCTGCCTCCCGATGCGAGAGAAGGCCACGTGGATGCACCCTCGGTCGCGTCAGTGGCACCTGCTAAACTATTTCCTCGTCCGGAGGCGAGACCGGCGAGACGTGCTGGTGACAAGGGCGATCCTGGGTGCCGACGGGTGGACCGATCATCGTCTGGTCATCTCCAAGATGCGTATTCGCCTACAGCCTCGCCGGTGACCTCAAGGTAAGCGGCCGCAGGTAAGCTGAATATTGCTTTGTTGTCTTTGCCTACTCACCATCTCCATTTCAGTAACGAGCTAGCTCAATGGCTAGTCAACCCTCCAGTCGCTGCCACCGCCGCCGCCGCCGCTGACGAGAAGACATCCATGGAGAACCGATGGTGCCAACTGCGGGACACAGTTCAGTCGACGGCGCTGGTCGTCCTCGGTCGCGCACGCCGCCCACATCAGGACTTATTTGACGACAAGGACGCCGCCATCAGTAACCTGCTTGTCGAAAAGAACCGACAGTACAAAGCCTACGTCGCTCGCCTCACTGAAGACAATAAAACAGCCTTCAATCGCAGTCGTCGCCCTGTGCAACAGCGGCTGCGCGAGATTTAGGACGCCTGAACGGCTCGCAAGGCCGAGGAGATCTAAAGGTACGGGGACCATTACGAATGGAAGAATTTCTTCTTCGCGACCAAAGCTGTCTACGGTTCCAGGTGTTCCGCACTTCGTGGTTGGGTATGATTGGCTGACTACGGCTAATAAGCCAGAAACGACCATTCCAGTTTCCCTTGTCTTTGTCGGCAATAACATTCTGCCCATATCATGCGCCGCTGTGCGGTTGTTGGTTGGGTTCGAGTGAGAGTCCCTAAGACAGAACGGGACGAGTGAGTTCAGTAAAAACGATCGGTGAGCGATCCTCTACCATTATCTACGGTCCGCCAACTAAAGCAACTGCAGCTCTTCTCAGCGCCGACGGCAGTACCCTACTCGCTGTGAAGACATAAATTCTACAGCGATGAGCCGAACACTTCGGAAGCGTATCCAACCGCTCCTCCACCACCTCCGACGTCGCCATCGCCCATTTGCCTCAGGTGGGGACCAAAGCCAACCTCGACTTTAAACCTCTCTTCACGAAACCACCAGGACCGTACGTCAGCTCCGCAGCGGGAAGGCGTCCGGATCGGAAGTGATCCCTGCTGAGATCTACAAGAACGGTGACCCCCAAATTATGGATCATCTGACTGCGCTCTTCCAGAAGATGTGGCTTCAAGGTGGAGTCCCGAAGGATTTCAATGACGCCACAATCGTGCACCTCTATAAGCGGGAAAAATGGCCAAATCTGCGACAACAAGCCAGGCTTTTACCTGTTGAACATCGTTGGGAAGATCCTTGCTCGCATTCTTCTCTACCGCCTGAACAACCATCTGAAACAGGGTCTCCTGTCGGAAAGCCAGTGCGGTTTCCGTCGCCATCGTGGGACCACGTCGCCCGTCAGCTGCAGGAGAAGTGTCAGAATATGCGGACTCACCTCTACTCTACCTTCGTGGATCAGACAAAAGCCTTCGACACAGGGGATCGCGACCGAATGTGGAAAATCATGCAGAAATTCGGATGTCCCGAACGACTGACTTGGATGAGGGGTCAACCCCGCGATCACATGGTGGCGCGGGTCACGGCAATAGAGCTGTCGCAGAAACATTCACAGTGATCAACGGAGTGAAGCATGACTGCGTTCTCGCGCCGACTCCTTTCAGTCTCATGTTCTCTGATGGACGCCTACCGTGACGAAATTCCCGGGATCCGCGTCGAATACAGAACGGGCGGTCAACTGCTCAACCACCGGAGGATGCGCTTTCAATCGCGTCTATCCACAAGCATAGTCCATGAACTTCTGTTCACTGATGATTGCGTCCGCAATGCATCTACTGAAGGAGGCATGCAAAAGAGCGTGGATCTCGTCTCCGCCGCCTGTAAGAACTTCGGCCTGATCATCAACACGGAGAAGACGGTGGTCAGGCACCAACCGTCACCCAACACTGCCTACAATGAACCGCAAATCAGCGTGGACGAAACCCAACTGCACGGGGTGGACAACTTCACGTATCTGGGCAACATCCTCTCCCACAGCACTAAAATTGACGATGAAGTGGCGCAACGGATTTCCAATGTTAGTCAAGACTTCGGTTGTCGTCAAAACAATATTTGAGATCGCCACGGTCTTCAACTCAGCCCGAAAGTAAAGATTTAACAAGGCCGTCACGGCGTTGCTGTATGGAGCGGAGACCTGGACAGTTTACATGAAGTAAGCACGCAGACCCAAACACTTCCACCTTAGTTGTCTACATCGTATAATGAAGCTGAGATGCCAGGAACGGATCCCAGATCCGGGCGTACTGGAGCAAACGGGAATCTTCAGCATCCATTTGATGCTGAGACAACTACAACTACGTTGGAGCGGCCATCTCGTACGGATGGAAGACGAGAGGCTACCCTGTCGGGTTCAGGTCGACAGGGAGGTTCAAGTCCAAGGCTACAAGGATACTGTAAAAACCTCCCCGAAACGCCTGCAGATCAATCCGGCAAAGTGGGAAGACCTCGTCCTGGACCGACCTACGTGGAGGAGAACAGTGAAAACAGGTACAGTAATCTTCGAAGCCAACCGCATCACCAGCCGCCAAAGCCAAACGCGAAACACGCAAATCTTGACTGCCGCCGCCTTACAACGTCAATGTCCAACCGTCTCTAACGTGCCCGAGATGTCAACGGATATTCCGGGCGCCAAGTGAACTTTTTGGACACCTCTGGACGAACTGCAGCACCCTGGCAGTACAAACCGTCGTCTCTCCGCTTACCTTTCTCATGCCGTCAACTAACGTTGATCGTTCTGCCGAACCAACACTACCATCCTCCTTTGCCTCCTTCATCACCACCTCAACGTCTGGCGCTGTGGCGTCTGCTATACCCACCAACACTAAACACAATCCTGACACACCAACAAATGTCAACACCACCACCATCAATCTGATAACGCCTGTCAGAATCCAATATGGCCCTCGTGGTGGTCTAATGCACCTACCAGGTGACCCGTTGGTGGCACGTCCATCATTATTCTAGCCTTATTTAAGTCACGGTTAAATTTTGGGGTTTCAACGTCAAGAAATGTGGTCTAACCAGTTTTTAGAACTCGTTTCTATTAGTGTACTCAGTTTAACATGAGATATGTGCACAATTGAGCTTACCACCGTCCGATTAAAAAGCTCTACTTTAGCTTAATCTACATTACACTGCCAACGGTATTTCCATTTATGCTGACATCTCAGGAAAGTATTTGGCGAAATATATTTCGCAAAATATATAATATATATATTTCCTAGTTTATGTCACATGACATACGTACGTCCATTGTCAGACTCGACGTCCATTAACACAAACCACCCAGAAGACTACAGTTTGTCACAAAAGCTCCATCACACTGCAAGTGTCAGGCAACTATCCGGCCGTCGAATTATTATAAACTTACAAGGATCCAAAGTTACGCTGTTCTAACACTTTTATGTCAAATTCGCACAATTATGTCGTACATGAAAGAAAAATAGTTGAATATTGCCATTTTGAAAGTTATCAGTTCACTAATCGTAATTTTTTAAATGAGGCGGTGCTGTGCACTGCAGAGGAAACGTCTTACCGGCAAGGACATGAGGAATCAGGAAAGCGTCGTCAGGCGTTTTCGTGACGTTATCAGTCAGTTTAAACGTCTGTGTCACGTAGCACTCGATGTGAATTTTGTGCTCTTTGGAAATTCAAGTTCGTGATAAGTAGAGCATCTTCGGAGGTAGAGATTGTGTTGTTTAACAGATTGGCAATACTTTTAAAAAGTATGGATAATACGATCGTTAAATTTACTGATGGTAGCCGCAGATACCGTGCAGGCAAAAATTTTCACATCTCAGGAAGGTACACCAAAGACAATGACCTGAAGTTTGTCAGTTTGATTGAAGCCTGCTTCATAGTCAGTGTCAGCGAAGCTGTGTTGTAGTGTAGCCAGTACTGCAGCAGTGAGCTTTGTTGTGCCAAAGCAAGTGCCTCTAGGCTCGCCAATCCGTAGGGCTTATATCCCTAATAGCAAGCGAGCTCGCCGCGAGCTAACGTACTCTCGGGGGGTAGGTGCTCTTTAGCCTGCTCGTGATTTGATTGGTTCCTGGGTCGGCAGCGCCGGCGACGCGAAGGGCGCAAGCGGCCGCGCATACTTGCACTTGATTATCGATTAGCCTCGGCGGCCGATAACCCTCCGGCTCTC